TTGTGCCTGCCCATGGTATTAATACACTGCTTTTCCATGATCCAGCATTGCTGAGATAAACTGTTAGATCCAGGCCTTTTTGGCATTTCCCAGAAGGTGTCATTGTGTTCGTGTCCAAAGGTGAACTTGTATTTCTGAATAATTGATGGCTGGTAGTTAATTCCTTTATCTTCAGAAAGGAAGAAACTTATTAATGAGGATAATGCATGAGGGATCAATGCCAGTGTGTGTGACATCGATTAATGATTTCCATCTTGCAACCGGATTTAAAAAAGCAGCTGGTCTCTGTATTTGAGCACATAATTACCTGTAATTGTGCTGATAACGTGGTGGGAGTGGAAAAACAGCTAAGGTACCACTTAAAGGGTACAGGCAATGGGGCAGAGGTCTCCTTGATACTCCCTGAGCTGGGTTATTATCAACTCCTCAGTAGTTAAGGTGATGCACAGCTGTGGGATGGGTTTATTTTTTTTCCTGTAGGAATGGCATGTTTATGTGCACATACATATTTATAAATATGGGTGAGTCCATACAGAGAAGTGAAGCTAATGCTGGAGAGACTGGTTTTATTTTTAATAATAAAAATTGTAATTGGGAAGGCAGATGGTGAAAACTGCAAGTGATAGCAGGAGAATCGCACAAGGAGTGAAGTTTCCTTTCTTTAACACCCCCACCCACGGCAACAAAAGCTCATCAGATCATGTTCTAGACCCAAACTTTCAATGCACAATGTAAGGAAGTGGAAACTTTAATCTACCCTTTGAAATTTCCCTAAAACTTTTCCCCTCATCAATCCTGCTGCCTGGTTTTTAACAAGGATGCTGCATAATAGAGACTCTGTAATGAAAGCTGCCAATTGGGTGTGTATTTACTTCTAAGTGTAATACTTACTGCTTGCCTTGGGGGAGAAAAACTAGTTTGCCATATTGAACAGGCTGATCTTGATGTTGTACTGAACTTCTCAGAGCTGAGGTTCTCTTTAGGCACCTATTGGTGTGTGATGCTGGAGCCAAGTTTCTCCTGTATCTCTTGGAATCTGCCTATACCCAAAGAACTGAGTCACGTTTTGGTGACTTTTGCACCACCAAAGAAGCCTGTAGAGAAAGCAAAAAGATGCTTTCCTGTCCTTTAAAAGGACCACATGGCTTGTGGAGTACTCATTTTTAGGAAGAGGAGCTGTGATGTCTGTAGTGAGCAGAGGCAGCCTGGCCATGGTCTGTGAGTCAACTTTCTGCTGGAGCTACAAGAGATGTCCACGCTATGGGAGACTGGAGGAGTTCCTCCACCTTCCTTTCTACCCTGCTTTGTATTTATATTTATAAATATCTAGGCTTGGATATTTACAGAATAACTTGTTTGTTAAATACTTCAAAAACATTGATTCAATTTCACAAGCTGATCTTGTTTAATATGTTTTCTTGATTAAATGCATCTCGTGTCACAATGTGACAGTGCCTTCAGTTGTTTTAGCACTTGGTTTTCCTCACCCACAAGTGGTACAGCTCGTCCCTGGAAAACAAAGAATTAAATTTCTTTCTCTCATCTGACACAGAGAGGGAACAGTTTCATGGAGTCAAGAAGCCTCGAGCGACAGGCTCAAGGAAACTTCAGAACTTATGTTAATGTTTTCTTTTTTAAGCCACTCGAGAGTTATTAGTAACAGCAAAATAAGCTGTGATGTTCTACACCAGGATGGAATCAGACTTCAAACTTTTTCCTCTTGCCACTTTTGGAAAATAATGTCGTATAGGACATATTAGCCCTGAAAGGTAGGGGGTCTAGCAAGACTGTTCTGTAAGGATTTTAGTTCTCTGTGTGGGCTCAAAAACTACATATTCTTCAAGTCTCTATAATCATGTGTTATTGCTTGGTGAGCACCAGAGTTTTGGAGCACAGCTTGTCCCTGTCTGGCTTGATGGTTTATGTCTGAACCAACATTCTGGTCCTGTTTGAATTTCAGGAGTTCCCTTGGCTGTAGATGAGTTTTATAGTGATTTTTTTTTAATCTGTTTATTTTTATATTACACATTCCTGATCTGCAGCATGTTGTTTCAGTGCCTTTCCTCAGTGATATAAAATTTTTTTAATAGTTGGATTTCATCCCACTGCTGAACATCCAGTCCTCAAAGATGCTGTTGTTGTCTGGAAGATTATTTCAGTTGTCTTGAGTTACAAATACCCATTTTCTTTGTTGTCAGTATATTCCATTATAAGCCAATAAGTGTATTAATGTAAAAAATTGAATTTTAACAAGATGTTAAAGGTTACCTGACCATTAACTTCATGTCCCTGTGATCTCTGCTTGCAGCACAGTCTTGTTGCCTTTCTTTTAGGGCAGTTTCTTGCTATACATGTGTTCTCTGTAATGCCTTTTTCCTATGTGCTGCTCAATTGGACATTCTGGTAAAACATTGATGAACATTACGTGATCTTATTTGTTTCGTATACAAAATTACTTGTGTGTTGTGGAGGCTTAATTTTGTTTGGTTGGGGTTTTTTTAATTAAAGGTTGGATCTGCCTAACTGCCTATTTTGATCTGCCTAACTGCCATGTTGTGTATTAAACTATTTTTTTGTTCTACAACGTTATTTTATCCTGTTTTCTTCTACCAAAGGCCTTGTATGCTGTGAGGAGATCAGTGGCTCCAGAGTTGATACTGTTTGTTGTTCAGCAGCTAAATTACCACCAGCTTTGTGTCATCAACTGAAATAATTTCAGACTCTGGGATTTGGGATTTATCCTGTCCTTCCTGCAGTCACCCTGAATCTTATTGTGTTCTTGATGTTCCTTTTTCACAAATCTTTAAGTTTGGACAATCTTTTATAAGGTTTTAGCCTGATTTGAGTTCAGCCTAATGTTTGGCTTTGCCCTATTTGATGTCTAAGACATAGTTGCCTCATGTCAGTCCTTTTCTCAGATTCTTGTAGATCATTTATTTCTAATCTTTCTGCTTGATCCAGCCAAAGGGAAGGATTTTTCCTCCCACTGTTTTTCACCTTGCTTATTATGCAATTTTCTTCTTGGGTTGACACTTCTCATTGGAAGAAGTATTAAACTTCTCTGCTTTCTACTACCTGGGCTCCTTGGACCCAATAAATCACATAGTTTATGAAACTTTCGTCATTCTGAACATGAATTCCACACTTGCTTTTGTTTCTTCCCTTTTACTTAGTTTATATGGAAACAACTGGTGATCTCTTGATTTGCAGTTGGTTTTGTACAGCTTGTTCTTTGCCATTGTTCTATTCACTTCTTGCCAGAACCATCTCTGTGTTTCAAGATGTGCTGTTTTTATTGTCCAAGCAATTTGCACTGATACCAGAATTATTCCTGCAGTTTCTGACTGTGCCTACTGTGCTGGCTGGACCCGTTCTGCTGCCTGGCAGACTGACTGAGGTTTTCTCCTTGCTCTTCTGTTCTCTGCTTTCCCTTTATCTCCAGTTGTAGTTGTTTGTGATTATCCTCATGCTCAAAGGAAGATAGAGGCATGGCTTAATTTCTGAAGTGATGCTGGCCCCTGAAGAAAGGACCACAATTCATTGGTTGGAGGGTTTTTTAGCACCTGGGGGGGATTTGGTTTTGAGTGAGATTTGGTTGCCCAGAGAAGCTGTGGCTGCCCCATTCCTGGAAGTGTCCAAGGCCAGGTTGGATGGGGCTTGGAGCAACCTGGGACAGTGGAAGGTGTCCCTGTTGAGCTGGATAATCCGAAAGGTCCCTTCCTACTCAAACCATTCTATGATGAAACACGTGGACCTCTCAAACTCATCCCTGGGTATGGATCTTGAATACTGCTGAAGGGGGGAGTATTGGCTACAAATTGAGATCTGCAGCCATTGAAAAGCGGGGTAGTGCTCTCACTTGATCAGACAAGGGTTGTAATGTGAAATTCTTTAGTAATGACTTCAGACTGGAGCCATTTAGGTTGGAAAGTACCTTTAAGGTCATTGTGTCTGGGCCAACACTGCTAAACCCATCACTGAGCCATGTCCCCAACTGCCGCATCCCCACGCCTTTTAATTCCCTCCAAGGCAGCCTATTCCAGGGCTTGACAACCGGGCTGAGTCCTGAGGACACCCAGGACTCTGAGACGCTTCCATACTTTGGGAATTTTCAGTCTCCAGAGCATTGAAGTGTTTAGCACGAAACGCAAACGGGTCGTTTTAAACACAAACCTGCGTTCGTGGCCCAAACCCTTCCCGGAGCAGCACAAAAGCGCGGCAGGGACCGATGGGGTGCCGGTACGGACCGATGGGGTGCCTGTACGGACCGATGGGTGCCAGCCGGGGCCCCCGCCCCTCCCGGAGCCGCTGCCGGTGCAACACCGACCCCTGCGGGCCAGAGCCGGGATCGGCCGGGGCGGGGGAACCAGGGCGGGGAGGGGGGAGCGCGGATCGATCCCACCGGGAGCAGCGCTGGGTTCGGTGAGGGAACAGCGCTCCGTGGTACCTAAAGCGCTGGGAGCAGCGGCGTGCCCGGCACCGCCGGGATCGCCACTGGAACTGCGTGACTGCCCAAAGCCAGCCCCGCTGTGCTGGTGGTCGCCCAAGTGCTCTGTCCCGGGGGTCGTAGCTCTCATTTTCCTGTCCGACTTCCAGCTTAGATGGCTGATCCATACGGATCTGTTCGCTATTCAGTGCCTTTCCACCCCCCCCCCCCCCCCCCCGGGGGCCATGCTTTTTGGGTCAAGAAGTTACCTCCGGAAAGCAGTTTTTTAGGGTAGTGCCCAGGATTGTGTCCCCGCCTGTGCCGAAGCCCGGGAGTGCCCAGTGCGCGGTGTGACTCGGTGTTTAGCACTGAACTCTCCAAAGTAAAGTGAATGATGATGGAAATTACTATTTTCGGCTGTAGGTGCCTGTGAGCTGTTCGTACCAGCCGCTCCATCAAAACCCTGCAGCGTCTCCCCCTTGGCTCCGACAGAGGGTCGCTCCCTCCAATCCATCCCCAATCCCACCCCCAATCCCAGCCCTCCGCTCAACGCCATCCCCTGCACTGACTCTCCATCCGCGCTGGAAACAGGGCAAGGAAAACCTGCGAGCGATGCTGCGCTCCAGCCGCGCTGCCGCGAGGGCGACGCGTGTGCGCGCAGCGGGGCTCGAATAAGGGATCCGACCCACCCCGAACCTCTCCTCCCTCCCCCCCATCCGGGGGAGGGGACCGGGGAGGGGGTGCCCCGGCAGCGGGGCCGGCTCTGCGCGGGCGCGGCCGGTGCTGGGCTCGGGGGGCACCTCCCGCCCGCCCCCCGCCCCGCTCCGCTCCCCGCCCGCCGCCGCCACTCCGGCGGCTCCGCCGAGCAGCGCCCGCGGCTCCGGGGCCGCCGCGCTCGGCCACCAATGCGGGGGACACCGGCGGGCAGGAGGCAGCGGCTCCGCGGCAGGTGAACTCTGGGGAAAGGATGACCGGCGTGGCCGCGATCGTCTTTCTCCTGCAGCTCTTCTCGCCCAGGGCGGAGGGACAGGTCTTCCCAGGTGAGTGATGCCCGCGCCCGGCTCGGCTCGGCTCTCCCCCCACCGCACCTCCACCGGGTTATCCCCCCGCTGCGGCTCGAACTCTTCGCTTCATCCCTTCCTCTCCGGCCTCGCGGGGAGCTCCCGGTGCGAGCCGGGGATGGAGGAGGCTCGGAAGGCTCTGGCCGTGGAGCGGGAAGCCCTCGGTGCCAGCGGGAGCGAGAAGCCTCGGTACCCGGCGGTGCCGGAGCCGCCGGGGGATGCGGGAGGCTCTGCCCTGTGCGCGGGGTCCCGGCGGGCTGAGGGCCGGGGCGGGCTCGTTCCTGCCAAACTTGCGTGTGGCGAGAGGTGAAAGCATCGCTTTTATTCCGGGATTCACGATATTTGAGGGTTTTTTGGGTGGTAAGCAGCGTTTTACCACCAGTTGGCTCCTGCGGGATGAGCAGCGCGGAGGAGCCGCTGCCTTTCCCACCCTTAGAGAAGGGGTCTGGGCTCGGTCTGGGAAGTTCAGTGGCAGTTGTTTCTCCCCTTGTATCTTACAGCTCCGGGAACTTTCTCGGGGGTTCAGCCACTCGCACCGGCTCCTTCCCAGTTGTCACTGTTTCTGTCGCTCTGATGTTAAGGAGTACTTTGCTCCCTGGCATGTGTACAGTAATAGTAGCCGGCTATTTTCTCCCTCCTACGAGTGCCTTTAGGCATAGTTTGAATTACTCGAGGAGGACAGGTGCTTATAGAGCTGGTTTCCTCCTCTTGTGGTATTTTCTAGGTAAACCAAATATATATGGGTCTTGTTTTTCTCTTGGTAATACGACAATTGTTTTCTCATTACAGTGTCTTTATGGTAAAAAAATAAACAATTATAACTTTCTTCTCTCCTGACTTCATTTTAAAATATTTTTTTCTATCTGTATATTTACGACAAGTAAAATTTCCCTGTGTAACTTTGCTTAGCACAGGGATACATCTCAGTGCTTGTGACTTGGGCATGTTGGAGGTACAAAACTCAGCTGAGTTCATCTCAAACAGTGGAGGATTTGTGTTAGTTAAGACCGAGAGCTCGAATTACTGAGTCTTGCTGCTTTGAGGCAGAACTAACGGAGTGTCAGAGATGCTGAGTGCTGTGTGCACCTTCCACCGAGCCCCTGGGTGGCTCAAAGACAAGGCTGAGTGTGAAGGGCCGGGCAGACCCTCGGTGGTGGAGATGTTGTCATCAATCCGGCTCACTTTGACACCACCGGGATCTTGTTTAGATTGCTAGGCAACTGCACAGAGTGAGATTTATTAGAGAGGCTGGGAAATCTAACCTAGTTAAATAGCTGCTGCCTTGACTAAGCAATATGTGGAGCTATTTTTCACCCCCCCCTTTTCTCTCTCTTCCAACTGTTTTTGTGTTCTCGACACTTGTCATATCAATTGAGATTAGTTCCTGAGCTTTTGATGAATCATTTAGCCAGATGCTTGGAAAGAAGGGTGTTCTGTGAAAATAGCAAAGTTTTAAGGGGGCAGAAAACACTTTGTATTGGAGGGAGATAATGTAATATGAGCTAAACACATGCAAATTTAAGGATTAGCCAGATGTTTTCCATTATTTTTAGGAAAGCCGTGAAATATTTTGTTTTAATTATCAGTTCAGTGGAAATCGTGACTGCGAGGTTTTTTAATCATTAGTATCGCCTTCCTCCTTCTATTTGAGTGTTTCTTACCATTCAGAGGAGGTGATTTTAATAATAATGTTTTCTGAGCTGCTTTTAGTGCCAAAATGAAAAAAAAAGTTTTCTCCTCTTAAACTAAATATCTGGTGTGAAGTGTAGCAGTCTGGACTGTGTCCATAGAGCTGATATTTTTATGGTACAAAGCAGAGTTTTTCAGATGCATTTAGTCTCTGAAATTTCAGTGAAGTTTGGAGCAGCTCCAGTTCGTGCCGTGGGTGCCTTTCCCCAGCTTCCATCAGGTGGTGCTCTCTCCATAACTATTACGATGCAAATACCTCCCGTCTGATTATTTTTCAAAGCCTAATGCGTTTATTCAGAAGCCTTTTGTTAAACATCCCGAAAAATCGCTGTGCAAGTTGTTGGCTGTTTTTTTGGGGGGGGGTTTATTTTTTTAAATAATCGTTGGGCTAAGAAGTGGGAAAGACACAAGTCAAGGCAAAATGTATTCAGTTCCTACCCAATTTGCACAGCTGCTGCTGCTTTGTATTATCCACAACACAAAATTAGGAATACTACAAGGAGACAGCAGAATGCTCATGGCTTCTGGAATACCTCGTTTCATGTTGAGGGAGCTGGCTAACACTCGCTCCTTTATGTAATTTCTGTATTGCTCTATTTATAGCTCTTCTTCCCTGCACTTGCATCCAGTTCCTTGCAGCTCTTGTATTTATTTGTAACTCGAGGTATGCTTTTGAGGTTCTAAACTTGTTGGTTTAGCTTTAGGGTCAGCTGCTGATTTAAACCCTTTACTTTCCCATGGGAGTGACAGAATTAAGACCAAATAATTCTAATAGTTCCCAATCCTTCCAGGATTTCAGAAATGAAGAAACTTTGCTTACAGGGAAGTTTTTTCTCCTGAAAGCACGTGTGCAATCTCCCACTAAATATGTGGGGTATTCTTGCAGTTGCTGTGCACTTTGCTACTGTCTGCTCTGTAGCATTTTTAGCACAACAGGGCGACAAAAAGAGAGATTAAAGTCATTTGCAGCTGTGAAAAAGCGTTTGGGGCAGAGTAGGACAGTGGGTTTACATTGAGGCTATTGCCCCGAACACCAGATTATTTGAAACTTGTTTTTCTTCTGGTTTCATTGTCTGCTTTAATTTCTTTTTTTCCCCCATACTGGTTGTTTCTCTGTGGCAGAGCTCCTGAGCGCTTGGATGTGGAGCTGCTTTCAAAGGCTGCTACTACACTGTAAAGTTATGGCAAGTGAGAGTTCATTACACCGGATTCGTCCAGGGAGGACACATGATGAAAAGGGAGCAAAGAGGAAGGAAATTTGGGGGGGAAGCTTTAATTTAGTAGGAGTTCATTTGCTGGGATTTTCCTGTCAGTAAATTGGCGATGAAAAACGGGTCTTTCTGAGCGAGCTGCTCTGTGTGGCAATTGTTAACAATGCAGCCATTTAACTCAATAATCACTTTTCTCTCCCTCTGGGGAGCTGTTAGCACCACAATTCCACTTTATTTTTATCCCTGGCTGGCTCGATTTGTTTTCTAATACATAAACAATTAATACTAAGAAGGTGATGTTGTGGAACTGCCTGTTTCGACAGTGGCGACGAAAGGTCACTGTGTGTATAAAGGCGTTTGTGAATCTCTGAGGGATAATCCTTCTCTTTTACAGATGCAGAGCCCTTTTTTACCATCCACCCTCCTGGAAGTCCCTCAGCTCTGCTTTTCTTGTTTAATTGGACTTTTAAAGTCTGTTATGCTCTGTGTGCAGGCCCACGTGCTCTAGTTTTCATTAATATTATGGGGATGATTTGGGGCTCTTACTGTAGAATATTATAGTATATTTTTTTAGAAGGCACCTTCGTTGTTACCATGGAAACCCGAATAGTGGTAAAGATGTAGGTCTCAGGCTCTGAACCTGGAAAGCCATGGACAAGGGTTGTTTCTTACAGGAACAATTACTTTTGTATATAAAATCCAGTTAAGTGGAGAGAAGAAAGGGAAATAAATTGATCTGTTCAGCATTGCACTGACAATCCTTTTGAATAACATTCAGCACGGAAGGATCAGTGTCTCTGATTCTCTCTCTGTATGTGTACGGTGGGTTTTTTTAAGCTCCTTATTTATCATAATAGTTGTTTTATGCCGCTGGTAATTTCCCTTGTAATTTTATAAGTGAGGTGAACGAATGTGTATTGGCAGGTATTGTTCTTTGCCTGAATGGGAAGAGCTGAATGTACAATGGAGAGGTGTGCAATGGTAGCACTGGAGCTGAAGTATTTTGGCAACGAGCAATTTTGAGACTGACTTAATGTGGCCCTAATTAAAAAAAAAATAATAAAAATAGCAGATGTTGTCTGAAATCCACCTACTGAAATCTGATTGTAGACATGGGTTTGTTCACGAATGTGAGCAATAATACTGTGTTTTGCCATAGCAATCCTGCAGCCTGGCCAACATCCACACAAACTCTCATGGTGTTTGGGTGATGAGCAGCAGGATGTGTGTCTGCATTGCTATATAAAGCCCTGTGTCTTTTTAGAGAGATTCCTTAATTTTTTATGGAAACTGCTTCAGTCTGTTTCCTCGGTGTCTTGTAATACACAAATTAAATATGTAACCAAGCCTCTAAAACATACTCGTAGGTACGTTCATAGATGAGGCTTTCCTTGCATGTGTTTCAAACAGCTGCATCCAGAGATCACCTGCTGCTATAACAGACCCAAGTTGCAGTCCAGGTTTCCCTCTGTGATGCAAGAAATCTGTGCCTCCCAGTGCCTTGGTACCAGAGGGTCTCAGTTCCATGAAGAATGATTTGTGGGTTGATATTTCTTGGCTCTGTGTTCATGTTCTTGATAAGAATATGGTATACTTGGCTCTTATGGTGTTCCTTGATAGTTTTCTGGAGCAGTATTACTTGGCTCATTGAAGCCAGTGTATTTGGCCTAGAGTCACTTTTTCTTGGTACCACTCACTTTTCCTAATTCTCTAATTTTTTTGTTTAGCTGATGCTCTCTGTGTTGGTGTTTGGATGTCATTTCATTTGGATGGTATTTGCTTTCTTCTTTTTTTGGAGAAATCCTTACCCACCTCTTAACTATCACCTTCCTGGCCCTGTGTAGTCTCTTACTTTTGAATGTCACTTGCTTCCCACCACCCTGCTCTTTCCAGGCAAAGCCAGAGGAAAAGAACACAAAGGTGGTGATTGTTGTTGATGGCTTTGGTAAGGACTTCTTACAGCCTGGTCCTATCTTCTCCTGCACTTGTAATTACATAACAAGCAATCCCTTTTAGGGTTCATTATTGCAGGCTCCAAAGATCATACATCTTCAGGGTAAAGGAGACAATTACTGTGTC